GAGCATTAAAGTTATAGTCATGTTCTTCCTCATTTTTGAAAATACTTTCAATTTTAGTGATAAGCAGATTCAATAGTACTTTTTTGTCTAACAGTTAACAGTGTATAGAAAAAATGACCTTTAAGTGATAATCAAAAGTAACAGTTGATAAGAGTTGAAAATATTAAACTAATTACACTGCAGTAATGTCAGGTTACCATAATTTTTTTACTTGTCATTGTCGTTTTTTTAAGAAATGGTGATTCCTACCGCATGGGCCTTCTTTAGTGTGATTGGATTTTTTACCGCTTGTTTTTTAATATTTATGTATCGAGGAAAAGTGGAACATCAACCAAGAATCGAAGCCATCCCATTCAAAAGCTTTCAAAGATTGAATCGGAATTCGATGTGTTCGCCACGTTCTTCTCTTCAGGTTCAGCTGTCTAAGGAACTTGCTGAATATATCAACATGTTAAAGCAGGAATAAAGTAACTTTGGTGGATATTTCAGTCATTACGCACCAAAAAATGCAGCATTTCCGCCTTGTTGACGAGTAGAAGTTAAAGCAGTAGAACTCAATTGACTTTGAAAAGTTTTACGTATCACTTTCGCTCTACTTCTACTTCTAAATTATGCTTGAAAATAATGAAAAATTGTGTGAGATTTTGTAATTTATCATTACAGAGGTACAAGTCATTACGATAAAATAACGTTTTCAGGTTATTGAATACACAAAAAACAAAAGATCTGTTGTATTTCATTGTGTGTGTGTTGTTGAATGACTGATATTTGTTGGTCGGGGAATTGTATAAATATAATGTAAATTATACATTGTAGAACTGTTTGTAATTAAAAGTTATTTTTGTAAATTTTTACCATGAAGATTGGAAGGTTTTTTGCGTCAGTGAGAATAAATAGTCAATTTCAGATATGTAAAAAAAATTTTCGTCAGCAAAATTAAAAAAAAAAAATTGCTTTTTTACATTGGTACTGCTTTACGTGCGATAGAAAAGAAATTTTCTTTTCTATTTTCTTCTCCTTTTTTCTGACGTTTGGCTGGCAGAAAAGGCAGAAGTTAAGCTTCTATTCTTCAAACTTTGGCGCGGCCTTATCTATTCCCGAATGCAGTGAAGGAAAAGTGCCCAACAGACTACATTTCGACACTGATTGCAAAAGTTGTTGAGTAAAGAATTGTGCGGTTTTAAGATAAATTTTTTTTCTCCATATTAGCTCGTAGGGTAAAAGATAGTTATAGATGCGCACAAACAGTTACTTTATATAGCTCTCTTATTTCCATCGTTGGACAAACGTCGAAGCACTACTGCACTCTTGTGGCAAGTTTAACATAATTTGCAAACACAGGTTCGCTGTCGTTTAATGCTGCTAGAACATCTGATAATTTGAACATTCAAGCACTTTCTTTTGACATTCATGAGTAAAGTCGCAGAGTTTTCTTTGTTAAAGGAAACATTATTTTGAATATTATTAATCTAAACAGGTTTAGTCCTCGTCTAACTGCTTTGGTTCAGTTCTAACAGCATTATATGAAATACAATTTGACATGAAAATACGGTCGTACGCAAGTTTTATTATACACATTTCACTGCTTTCAAGCCACGTTTTTGCATACAAACCGGGTTAATAAAAGCAGTTCAAATAATTATTGATTTTATGCAATATTTTGCTTCAAAATTTTATTTATTTTTATCAAAAAACCAATGTTAATGGTTATTTTTGACTGAAAGTGTAAAGTTTATGTTCTTTAAACTATTATACATTTAATATTTTAGAAAATGAATGTGAGAAAACGTGGATTGCAACTGAAGACTACTGCTATTCTAAGGTATTTTTGATAGACTTCCTGTCAAATGTTTTTTTTTATTGAAGGTTATTATTAGTAATATTGTGTAAATTTGAAAGTGTAAATAATGTCGAGGTTTGACAACTTATCAGAACGGCGGTACTGAACACCTTTGATTATTTATTTTGAAAAACCACAATTCAAACCATAACTATTTTTCTTCTCAATCTGAAAGTTTATTGAGTAATAATTCCAGGAACTACGAAGGCATAATTTTGACGAAGCACAACAGGTGTGCAAAAAGAAGGGAGCTAGACTACCAGTTTTTTTGAGTGAAAAAGAATTTGCAGATTTCCGAAGTAGGTTGTTCATCTAAAGTGATTACTGAGTAGAAGATAGAATAATAGACTTTTTTGATTTATAATTAAACTTTGCTTAAAGTGTAGGTTTACGACTGCGTTGAACAGAACCTGTCTCCTTTCTCTTCTGCTGCACCTATTACTTTCCCAAATCAGTTTTCCAAATTTATCGTGAAACCATACTTTGAATAGCGCTTTACTGATGCAAACGTGCTAAATTTTCTTACTGTAAACTGTTTTTTTTTTATATTTTGTGTAGGCTGTTGAGAGCTAAGTTTCTCTGTTGCCGAAAATGTAACAAAGGTAATAAAAAGATGGCTGTTTTAGACATGACTAAAGAGCCACATGATTTTTGGATTGGAATACGACAACAGACCAGAAGAATGTGGAGGTGGCTAGACGGTGCTCCTCTACATCTTTCAGAAATATCGTTGCCAATTTCTTTTACTGATGGTTTCCGGTGTGCGGTATTAAGTAAGAGAGGTGTAGGTACTGCTAACTGCGATACTTTTCACAGCAGTATCTGCAAAAAACCAAGTGAGTTTTTTTGGCAATGATTTTACACTTCCACTATGATCTAAAATAGTTTTTCTGAAACGTTTCTTTGTACTCTCTATACTCTTTTGGTGTAGAGGTTAGAAATTTCAGTTCAGGGCTAGAACTGTTTAATTTAAAAAATATGATTTAAAATGATAAACCGATTGATTGGTGAAAGCTGATGAAAAAGTGAAAACTAAACCAATAAAAATCTATAAAACTAACTTTGAAAGTGACAAGGCTGTAAATTTATGCGAAGCTATAGTCATTAATTCTTGAGTACAAATATAGTATTGTTCTGAAACTGATTGACTTGAAACGCAGCTGTCATAAGAAAATCTGCAAACTACTTTAATTGTTTTGTGTTTCCTCAGCATTAAAAAAGTGTTTTAACTATCTAATATTCTTTCAATAATCTTACACGTTTAGTACATTTGCGAACGTACTAATCACAATTTATCTTTTTATTCTTTGATAGAAAAGCTGATGACAAAGTTTTGATTATTTTTACGTATTTTCTAATTGATAGAAACGTAAACTTTCTTATAAATTGTTAGGTACTTAATCAATCTTTTTCACTTCTGGTTTTCATAAAGTTCTGCAAACAATTTTTTGTTCAGAAAGTTTCTATTTAAATTTAGTTTAAACAGTTTTCAAAATATGGACATTTTTGTTCAGATTATATAGATAGTGTTTTCATGAAAACTGGAATAAAGGGTTTGAACATGTCTAGTTGTAATTAAATAATTCAACTGTCGATGGCTAATTTCAGAAATTTTTCTGTAATAATCAAATAATTCAGGATTTCGGAGTTTCGACTGTCCTTCATATTGGCAAGAGTTTGAAGAAAACTGTTATCTACTAGTGTGTTTTAAAGCTTTCAATGAAGGTTTATCAATGAGCAGTGTTAAGCGTAAAAAATAGCTAGCATTTAGTTTTGAAACTTTTTCGATTCACCTTTGAAGAAAATAACAACTTTTTTCAGAAAGTTATGCGTATTATCGATGTATCTGAGTTTAAATCACTATGTCATCTTTTTACTTTTAAAGTAATAGACCTGTTTAACACAAGTAATTTTATTGAACGTCTGTTTTGTCATCATTTAGAATGCACAAGTTCTTGTTAAAGACCGAGCAGCCAGTTTTTGTGTACAAAAAAAGGCTCTTTTAGCATCTATATTTTCCAAAGAAGAAGAAGACTTTTTAAAAGGTTAGTTTATTTTTTCATATAGTGTTTGGCAAAGTATAATTGCTCAAATTCTCCAGAAAAATGATTTCTAGTCTATTGAATATGGTAATGAACATATTTATTATAGGTTCGATAAAAAGTCGAAAAAAAAGCGTTTTAACTAGGTTACTTTTCAGAATTAGTGGGTGATAAAACTGCTTACATTGGTCTAGATTTCATGTACCTAGCAAGAGACACTTATCTTCCAGTGGAGTTCGAACTGGCAAATGAATATGAGAGGGTATTTATAAAACGTGCTTATTTTAATGTTCGCTATCAAGAATGTTTACAACTCGACTGGAAAGCGACAATGATGGCCTACCAAGCTTGTGAACACACGGCAGAGTTCACCTGTCAAAAAGAAAGTATGGTTATGTGGCAACCTCAGTTTCTACTAACAGAAGATATTTCTAAAAGTATTTATAGGGAGAGAAATGAAAAGGTTAGAAAGTAGAGATAGCTTAAAAATTTTTTTGAATAATAAGAAACAAGAAGCAAGTTAAGGTAAACAAAGCGTGCCGCAGAGATGTTCGTAACCTGTGAACAACGAGGATCTTGACTGGTAATTAAAAGAATGAAGGAATCAAAAAACGTTTTTTAGCTTTGTAGGTGAGATGATCAAGTGAAAGGAAAGTCGGACTAAACATGGATAAGACCGCTTAAGACAGAAATACATCAAAATTTTAGTGCAGTCTTCAGCGCTTTTCTTGGAGAAGTAATAGATGAGCATTAAGGTGAAGAAAAAAGCATGTAAACAGAGAGTAATACGCAACTACGGCATTAAAAAATATTTGAAATTTTTTTCAATATCTGACATTGCATTCCTTTTTCGTTTTCAATGAGGCAGTGAAGCATACAGTTTTGTAAGTTGCAAATGCGATGCACAGCCGACAGTTACTGAAGTAGTCACATGTATCGCACTTTACAAAATTTTAAAGTATTTCTAGAGGTAAATTTTTTTCAGTTTTAAAAATAACATTTTTTGAACCTTACAACTGCGTCATTTCTACTCCTACAATATTTTTTTAAATCAGTCTTAGAAATTTTTACATTCAAACCTATTTCTTTGTCAAATCAAGTGAACACTATTGTTAAGTTTGAATAGGTAAGCATTTTTGGCTATCACTATGATTTTACTAATCGTCAACAAACTTCGTTGCTATTCTTCTACTAACGGCACTGAAAGGGATTATATATATATATATATATATATATATATATATAATAT